CACACACACACACACACACACTTACTCACTCACTCACTCTCTCACACACACACACACACACACACTTACTCACACACACACTTACTAACTCTCTCACACACACTTACTATCTCTCTCACTCACTCACACACACACACTCACACACACTCACTCACTCACTCACTCACACACACCTAACCTACTTGTAAGAGTACTATTGAGTGCAGCGGGGCCTAGCCGAAGCACCTCAGTTTTTTCAGCGTTTAGTTGCAAAAATTATTAGCCATCCAAGTTCTCACTTCGTCAAAACATGAGTAAAGATGTTGTAAAGAAGAATCATTTTCAAGTTTGATTGGAAGGTAAAGTTGGAGGTCATCGGCGTAGCAATGATTGTTAATATTATATTTCGGCGTAGCAATGATAGTTAATATTATATTTCTGAAGAATGGAGCCTAGGGGAAGCATGTAGAACGAGAACAATAAAGGACCAAGAATAGAACCCTGTGGAACACCATAAGGGATGGGCGCAGAAGGTGAGGTGAACAACCCAATATTTACTGGAAAAGTCCTACCCTTTAAATAAGAGGTGAACCACTGTAATGCCGTGCCTTGAACCCCTACTACACATTTGAGTCGATTCAAGAGGATGTCATGGTCGATAGTGTCGAAGGCTGCACTCAAATCTAACATTATCAGAATGGCAGATGACCCCGAATCAATGGACAGCAAAAGATCATTCATAACTTTAAGCAAGGCTGACTCTGTACTGTGAAGTGCTCTAAAACCAGATTGGAACTTATCCAGAATGTTAAAAGCTTCCAGGTAAGAAGTAAACTCCTTTCTCTAAAACCTTAAAAATAAATGGGTGTTTAGAAATCGGCCGGTACTTACTAAGAACAGATGGATCAAGGTGAGATCTTTTTAACAGGGGCTGTACAGAAACATGTTTAAAGAACTCTGGGAAATCCCCACTAGTCAAAGAACTGTTTATAATAGTTAAAAGGGCAGGGCTAATAGTGTCCAACACCTCTCTAAGCAAACGGCCAGGCAGTACAGTACAGAAATTAATGCAATAAATTGAGATGGAGACACTGGTTTAAAACTAGTGAAACTGCTAGAAGGAGAGATCAGGTGAGAATGAACCGTGTCAGGAGGAGAGAGGTGAGATCTGATATCTTGTACTTTCTGCACAAAGAAACCTAAGAATTCTGCGCAGGTCACAAGATGATAGTCGAGCAGTTTATAGTTTTAAAAGGAACTTTTGGCCTGTTTGCGTTCATGGCAATCATTACCATTGTAGTTAGTGTTACAGTTATAGTTATAATTGTTGCTATAGTTGTAATTATCGCTGTAGTTGTTGATGTACTGTGAATGTGTCTTTATGCTCGTGTGTTTGTTGCAGACACGGTTCGAGGCGCAGAAGTCTCAGATGGAGGCAGAGTTTCGTCTGTCGTTAGAGCGGCAGATCAATGAGAGACTGACGGCCATACAGGAGGAGAACGCAACACACAATGCACAACTACGACAACAACACAGGTACACACTTCAGTGACATGATCGTGAGCACACGCAGTTCACACACACTGAACAATGCTGCATTACTAATGTCAGCTAATGTGCTGTTTCTGTGAGGCTTATGGGGTAGACAACATCATCAGCTCAGTGTGTGTGTGTGTGTGTGTGTCGCAGGAAGCAGCTGCTGGATCTGAGTGCGCGGCACGAGCGGGAGCTGGCGGCTCAGCTGGATCAGTTCAGAACACAGTTACAGGAGAAAGACGACAAACTGCAGCATCTCACACACAGCTACCAGCACAAGTACAGCTCCAAGTGTGTGTGTGTGTGTGTGAGAGAGTGTGTGTGTGTGTGAGAGAGTATGTGTGTGTGTGTGTGTGTGTGTGTGTTAGGCTGTTATGATAATGTGTATGATCTCTTATATGTGTGTGTAGACTGTCAGAGATGCAGGAAGAGCTGGTTTCCATGGCGGCGTCTAAAAGGAAGCTGGAGGCGCAGAGGGAGGAGCTTGTGTCCCGCCTACAGGGAATGATGCGCTCCCATTGGGCGGAGGCTTTGAGGCTGTTGACCAATCAGGAGCAGGTACAGCAGTCATGGGATAATAACCCTAATATTTGAGCCAGTCATTATAGTGCGTATAACACACTGATGTGTGTGTGTGTGTGTGTGTAGATGGAGAGTTTTTTATCACCCGTCGCTCAGTGGGAAGCATCCAAAACGTCCTCTTCTCCTCCTAAAAGGGACACACATGCGTCAGGTGATCAGTCTCTCTCTCACATAGTCAAATATTTGTGGACAGACAGTTTGTTTTTGTAGGATTATTTAATTCTGTGACATTAATGTCTTTGAATTATTTTTCTGTGGGTCATTTGATTAAAATATTTTGTTAGATACATAAATAATATAAAGAGGTTTTTGTGAATATTAAGAGTAATTTTTGTATATTAATGCACATTCTGAACATGTATACTGTATAACATGACTCCAGTTAATTTCATATGCTTTAATAGCAGTTAATATTTAAATTAGAAGGCGGCAGAAGGTGTTTGATACTACACAATCTTTTGAATCCTTAAACTTGGCCCTATAATAGTTAGATGTTTGTTTGGTAACACTTTATTTTAAGGTGTCTTTGTTACACGATCCATGTACTTACTATTATAATAACACTTAATTATGCATAATTACATGCAAGTAATCCTAATCCTAACCCTAACCATATAGTAAGTACATGTAGTTAATTAATATTACTCAGTACTTAAATTTATAATTACATTGTAACAAGGACACCTTAAAATAAAGTGTAACCGTTTGTTTTTGAAACCTGACAAACAGGAAGTAAAGCATTACACTGTTTGATCAAGCAGCTCCGCAGGCCGTGGTTCTGCATCTGTCCAGAGAGAAAGAGCGAGGGATGAGATCAGAGGAGCAAGAGACGAGAGCGCAGAGTGAAACAAGCTCACACTCGGAGTTTGGACTGTTGAACTGCAGCACTTCATTCTGTCCACTGGAGCCAGTGCTGGAGCACACGGATATGACAGGTACACTCACTCACTCACTCACTCACTC